TTTCCTTCTGTTGGTATCGCTCCTTAGAGTTCGTCCATAATTCAACACGTGTATCATCTTATAGCCAGCCAGCTCTTAATCAAACTTGAATGTTCCATGGTAACTATAATTCTATTGGTTATCATTAATCAAATTGGCACGAGCGACAAATTTTTGCATCACAACCTTCAAAGGATTATGAACTTCTAAAATTGACTGGGATGCCGTATAATTTTTTCTGCTTAGTTAGATCACTTTGTTAAACAGTTTATATAAAATTATTGTTTTTATGATTCCAGTACACGGTATATAACATTATTCTTTTACAAAGTCTGATGAAATGAATTTTTACCTGTTATAAAAATGAGTACTTTTATTAAGAATTTACAGTAAATTGGATTGGTTGCTCCCAGTTTACGAATATAAGGTAGGTTTCTAGTTTAAAAATGAGATTTTAATCCCTTGTAAAACTATGTTTGTTGTAAAAGTTAATGGAGATCACGAATTTATTAAGAACATAACGTAATAACCAGTGAAAGCCATAAAAACATCACGTCATTCCTGGCGTTATCCGAGCCACATTTAACTCGCTTGACATGTTTCATTTACCTCAAAATCGCCAGAAAGTTGCTAAGCAAAATTTCAACCCACATGACCGGTGACAGTTAAGCGAGGTGAAAAAAATTTTTTTCTTCAATACAAAGTAAAAAGAGTCATATCAAGATTTAATATGCAGGTAATTTATAGCGAATTGTATTTGCAAGTGTTTAGTAAATTGAATTATCAAAACATTTTTTTTTTTAAAAAGACCTTTTTTTTATACAAAATAATATAAAATATATTATTTTAAAAGATTTTTTTTTTTTCTAAAATTTTTAGAAAAAACGGAATAATACACTACTAGCAAGGGACAAAGTAAGAAAAAGAGAGAGAAGATTGATAAATGTTATGTTGTTTAACCAATTATGTAACCATCTGCGCTGTCTTTTTTAATCCAGGGATTTATACCGCGATACGAATGTGATGTTTTATTACTGCGTCCAAAGGGAAAATCCAATTGGAATTTTAAAGTTTAAATAACTCAACCATATGCAAAGTCCCTGCTGTACATGTTAATTATTCACTTTAAACACTATCCACTTCGTTCAATCTGAATATTTGTTCTGGATGAACCTTTCACCATATATCTTATTAATATATACCTAACTTTCCTCGACTTTGTTTCTTCAAAATTGCATCAGCAGTCTAAATACTGAAGTACGCTGTTCATTTTCATAATTTATGCTTCATGTTACTGCGTTTGAAATACCTTACTTAATGCACAAGTATTCTTCAAAGGCTTATTTCATTTAATCAAACTGTTATGAATTAAAATACGCATTACATTAAAAAAGCTCTTTAGTTCCATGAATATACATTGATAAAATTATAAATTAGTATTTCATACTTTTATTATTTTTCAGTTAACTTATTTTTACTTAAACATTTGTCGTTCAAGTAATGCAATTCTTTTGAGCGCCATTGTATATGGGTTGATTGCTAGGAAAATCAGGTTCCGGGAATTTTTTAGCAAAATTGAGATTTTTATTGCATTTTAGTTTTTGATGTTATTAGATTAAAATGTATTAAGCTCTTAATTTTAGTCAAAAATTTCTCGGAACCTGATTTTCCTAGAAACACTCCCATATACAGCCTCAACGAGGTTGGAAGCGGCCTAAAATAATCCTTAACCGTTTTTCTCTGACGACACTATAAATTTATTTAGAACAACGAAAACTTTGTAACCATCTGAATCAAATCTTAATAGAGTTTGGTTTTTAAATTGTCATTAACTTTGGGCAAATTAAGATAAATGATAGACTGTAAATGACATAATTAATTTTGGGTAGAAGTTACGTTAAAACAAACAAATATTTATTAAATAAATACATACACTTTGAGTTATTTGCTAAAGCAATAAATTTTTGATGAAAGCTTTAATAGGATGTGTTATAGAGTACTTGTTTCCGGGTCCTCGATTTGGAATGCTGGAGTATGACGGAGGAGCGTCAAAATTTGGATTATTAAAAATTGGAACACTGGGAGATGTGTCTCTGTATTCAGGTGGAGCATCAAGATTCGGAACGTTGTCACGATTTCTCTTTTCGGACGGATCATTTGCTAAACAGCAACAGCAGCATGGTAAGATCAAAAATGGGGGAATTATGGTAAAAAGGTCCAAAATGAAGTAGGTGGTTCAACTGTAACTCGAAAAACCGTACTTCCAAGGTCATTTTCGAGAAAAATGTTATAATTATCCGACAAATCAAGACCGTAGATATCATATGTGGGAGAGCCAATCACTGGAACCGACCAGAAGATAACGAAATTGCTTGAAATGTCGTCATTCATGGAAAAGATGGCATGACCCTTCACACCACCAAGAAAATGACTTGTAACACTAGAAAATGCCTCTGCCTGACCATTTTCAAGAGGGTAGATTTGTGGTTCACAGCTAATTTTGTATTTGTTATCATTTGATGTAATCCAACGACCACTTTCAAGACTGGCAACGACCATTTCCATATCATGACCGCTATTATTAATGAGAACAATTGTGGCGACACGTGAATGATGTTTCGAAGCAAATTGACGAGCTAGGAGGGGGCAACATTCTAGACTTGATCCGTTTTGACAATAAAATGTACCAATATCTTGTTCAAATAAAGGAGTATCCTGTCCATTGAAAGAATCAATATCTTGCTCAGTTAATAAACTGCCAACAACCTCTTGATCAGTTAAAGAAACAATCTCTTGTTTAGTTGAAGGAAAGGAATTAATAAGCGTTGATTGAATTATCAGAAAAAGAAAGATATTGATTGTGATGACTAACGACTTAGATGACAACATGTTTTAATATTGAAAATTACAAGTTATATTCTGACTAAACTTTTGAATTAGAAATGCACTTGCAAGGTCGTAAAAATTCGAAAATTAAAATCTTTGCACTTTGAAACTTTATCCAGATTAAAAATTATTTCTCATATTTTAATAAAAGGCGGCGGAGAAGAAACAGTAGAAATTGGTGTGACAAAAATACCTTGTGATCTTAAATCCATAATTTTGTGAAACCTATGAGGGAATTTAGCATTAGTAATCTGTAATTAATTAATTGTACTACGATTAGGATCAGATCATCATTACCTGTTATCAGAAAGGCTCTGTGACAAAATAACTGCAATGATGGAAATGATATTCTAGAAATTCAAGACATCAAAAAATGATTTTTTTTTTTCGCGATGACTTTCTATCTTTTCAAAATTCACGAGTTGGTTTTTTATAATCAAAAATTTTATCCTAAATATTTACTTTAATTAACCTCATATTTTCATTTTCGTTTTTAATTCATCCATATTTGATATGTTAAAACAAATTTCTTCACCAAGTTTATTTCCAAAATGATGATAGTATTTTGTTTGATTTTATATTTAATGAGAAAAAACAGAAAGCATGATATTGCTTTAATAAAATAAAAGGCAGTAACAGATGATGCGATGCGATGATTTAAAGTAAAAGTAAAGATGCAAGGAAATATAATAATTATATTTTATTTAAAAAAAAATAGAGATGAAACTTTTTTTTAAGAAAGAAAAAAAAAATAAGGAATGTTCGAAAAAATATCATTCAAATGTCGCATGTAAACTACACATTATAAAATTATTTAGCAATTATGATAAAATTAATAACGGTATTCGATCTACCTTTACTAGGTCAACAATTCGCTATTATTTTGAAAGCTGGTTTCACGCACACTAATTGTTCATTATAAAATTGTTATCATTCATCAAAACGCATAATTTACCTGGTGACATTTATTATAAAAATGCTGGTTTCGCCCAAAAGAAAAAAGCAGGTTGATTAAGATTTAAGATAACATTTAGTTCCATTTCCGCTATATAGCATAAATCACTTACAAACGATGACATTAAGTGCTTGCATTTCGAATAATATCATCATTATCATCCTCAATTTATGGCTCTTTCGCAAATAGATGTGATTCATTGGATGAAAATTTGGTATTGGAAAATAATTTATGAAGATTAATTTTAAGAAAGGTAATTTGAACGAAAGCTTTAAAGAATTGTCGATAGCTTCTATAGCTGCTGTTTCTCTCATCATGAAGTAATAATAATTTTAAACAACATTAATTATCGTGTAAATGAAAAATATTGAATGTCCAATTGAATAATGAAATGTCTAGTTCTATACGCGAATAAAATAATGACAGATCTAATGAAATATTAAAAATATTATACAAATATTTTGTTCCGGTCAATTAACTTTAAAAAATTTTTATTTTATTACTTTTGATACTTTTAGAAACTATCAAAACTGAAACGCCATGATATAAACTAACAAAAAAGGTGAAATTTTACAAAAAAAAAAAAAAAAAAAAATGTTAAAGTATGAAAAAAAATCACAAATAATTTTGATGATAAATAAATGATTGACGAAAATTAAATAATTCTAGCAGCTAGATTGCTAAAGTTAGGTTAAAAAGAAATAAGTGGATAGTTGTTAATGCATTGAGATTTAAAGATTGGGGATGATATCTATATAGAGGTTAAGTAAAGTTGGTAAGAAACTGAGTAGGGTTAATTAACCATTTATTATAGTTGAGAAAAGTTGAGATGATAAACAAGTTATTTTAGCGAGTTCTGTTAATCTTCGATATCATTGCAACCCACCTAAAGTCCTTAGTATGTCGTCCTTATTTAGCACCATGGATTATTAATTCAAGATTTCTGACCCTTTCTTCTAATTCATTAATAATTTCTCGCTTTTCTTTGAATACTTCTTCTCGTACACTAATCTTTTCTTCTAAATTATTAATAGTTTCATGCTTGATTTCGGCTTCTTCTTGTTTTCTAATCTTTTCTTCTAAATATTTGGATTGTGAAAGTAACCCTTTGTTACTTTGGTCTAATTCATTAACTCTAGCTTCCAAGTCTTTTAGGGTTTTTTCTAAGTTAACCATTTCCAAATATTAATTTTTGTATAATTTATTCGGATGATTATTCCAGTAGAAGTTTCTATAAAGAAACTTTTTTTTTTTATTTTTCAGCCTTCGGTTTAAATTTTATCCCCACATAATGAACTTCCATAAATATTCTAGTCAACTCGGATAACTCAAAAAAGGATCTAACCGGTTCTTACATTGGATCGTCGGTGACATTTCTTGCCAAATAAAGTTATCTCAATAAAAGGCTATATGTCGATTAATAAAAACTGGGTAAGCAACCTTAAATATGTACGCACTTTAATTGATTGTTTATTAATTCGTCGGTGTTAAATGTGATTTTTTGTAAATATTTGGCAATAAAAAGTTTTTCAATATTCATGGACGTTTATATAAAAAAAAATAAGGTAGTGCATTTAATTTAATGAATATTGTTAAAGTTGGAATGTAAACTTGATAAAAAAGACTGTTTTGAAACATGACACAATAAAGTTACAATGATTAATCAGTTTTGATTTTTTAAAAAAACTATAGTTGCTGCTATTTTAGAACCAGATATTTTATTCTTTAACTATGCGTAAGATAAACGGTGATCATTTTTTAGTAAAATTACCAGTAATATTTCTTTATGAACCTTAAACTAAAATAATGTTAAATGAACCAATCGTTGATCAGCCTTGTTATGCTGCTTCGTGATGAAAAATTCTTTTTTATATGAAAATCCTCTTTGAAAAGCAGTTGAAGCTAACATAACCATATCAGGAGGTGGAATGAATACTTGTTATTCCATACGTAGTGAATAAGCGCATGTGATTTTAATATTAACTCTGAATAACCTAAGTAAACCGTAACGAAGTATGGAATAACAGGCTTATCTCATCGTGTATGACGTATACACCGGTAAAGTTACTTTTGTTTTATTTAATACTTAGTAAGCTCTATTGACATTTACTGTGATTATACTTGCGATTATACTTGCGATTATATGTGATTATATTGCAATTACACCTATATTATAAGTTTTTTTTATTTTTTTTAGAATAATACGATGCATAGAAAGGCTTTAAGTAAAGATTTAAAGTGAAGAGTTATATATTTACATAGGGATGGTTATTCTACAAACAAATAGTGAAATTATTATATCTGAGTAAATCTATGATAAATAAAATTATCTGTATTTTTAAAAAGAGGGGATGCGTAAATAATCCATTAAAAGGTATACAAGAAAAAAGAAAAATATTGGACAGGCATGATTTAAATGCAAATTATTATTATAATTTTTCTTATACTTAATAACTCAAATATTATTTATTTTAAATAATGATATTTAGATTCTTAAAGAGTTAATTAAAGAAAAAAAAGATTGATTTCTTGATGAATTGATGATAGAAATGAAAATCAAAATGGAAAAAAAAGTTGCAATACCTACTACAGTGGTCCGTCAAAAGTCTCTGAACGCTTTTTAGCTCAATAAATCATTTAAAATTTTTAAAATTTAATTAAAAATTTATTAAAAATTTATTAAAAATGACATAAAATAAATTTCGTACTATTTAATTAGTATTTAGTCAGGCCTTCATTTGCTTCAATTACAGCTTGAATTCGTTGTGGCATATTATTGACCAAATTTTCGATAGTATGTATGAAAATTTCTCTCCATGGCTTCTTAATATACCACGTTAGTTCAACAATGTTAGAAGGCATTTTTCCATTCACAGATGCTTTTCTTAATATCAGCCCACAGATTTTTGATCGGGTTAATGTCTGGACTTAAGCAGGTCATAAAAGAAGGTGCATATCATTTTTTGCATGAAAATTCTTCACCTGCTTTATTTTATGAGGCCGAGCATTATCCTCCTGAAAACTATCATCACCATTTAGAAATGCATTTTAAAGTATAATTCATATAAACAAGGTTTGAAACGTCATATGACTGTAGAATTGCTAAGTCACATGAAATTACTGATATTCAATCGCTATTAAAAAGTGGTATTCAGAAACTTTTAGCAACCCCCTCTATATTTGAAAAGCATTGAATTATTTAGAAATTACAAGAAATTGTTTATGAATTTGTATTATAAATTTATGAAAATTTTAACTAAGTAAAAAACTATTTTATTAGATTAAAAAAGTAATCAAAGAATAAAATAAAATATTAATAAGTGCTTTTATAGTAAAATATACAATAAATAATTACTAGAACAATTTATTTTTTTAGATAAAACTTCAAAAGACTAGAGATCATACAAATATTTATTTAGAAATCAGCCAGCAATTCAAAAAGTTGTTTTATTAATAGGAACTAAATATACTATTCTTTCAGTACTTTTACAATATTATTAAAATAAAAATCATAGAAGGTAGTTATAACAAAAAATTATTTTAAGAATTTATTATTTTTCAAATTTTAAGTAATTAAATAACATTTTTATTTATATATGCAGTAAATGTTAACAAAAAATTTTATTTATAGATTTCACAAATGTTAATTTTCTATTAAAGAATAATATACTTATTATAAATAATATCAGAATCTATCATAAAAAACAAATTATATTAATAGTTGAAGAATTCAATAGAAAAGTTTTATATTTACTATCTAATTCTTCAGATTTTAACCCAATTAAGTTCATCTTTTTAATGATTAAAAGTTGGTTAAAAAAATATAATAAATTCATTAAATTATTTAATAATCCTTTGATATTAGCTTATACATAAATAACTTTACAAATAGCTAAATCAATTTATGCTAAATTAATTTATTTGTAAAATAAAAATTTTATTGAATAAAAAATTTAGAATTCAATGATAAAATCAAAATTTATTTATATATTTATTATTAAAAATACATTAAATTATTCAAAAAAATTATCCTATATTATTATTATAA